GTACGGACAGAGTAAAGAACTCTTTTTTCCAAATGTAAAGTGGATTCCAAAGAGTCCTTTCGTGACTTCTGTACTTACTTACGTATGTATGTATCTCGCATAAATCAAAACCTATTAGCTATAAGAACGTTGAAATTTACTAAGCGAATTTTAAAACTTATTTTAAATATACCTTATTTTGTGATAACGTCCACATTTAACTCAAATTTACGGTTAATTCGAGGGCTGTTAAAAAAATACGGGAAAGAGGAATAATCCATATTGTAATTAAGAGAAAATATTGTTATTAAAAATTTACTAGCATTTTCAAGTACTTTATTCTGAAGAGTTAGTTCATTTAGTTACGCAAATTAAATCAGTATTCCAAGCAGATATAATCAAGTGTAAAACAATGGGAAAATAAGCATCATTAGAAAGGATAATATTTTCAAAAGAGCCTAAACAATGTCATCGAGTTTCGTTTGATTAGAGATCAGGTACTTTATCAGGCATTCAGTGATATATACACTGGTGTGCAAAAATTAAGGACGAGACGGTTTTTTCAATATAACTTTGTACAAAAGCTTTCCAAATCAACACTTTTAATACCGTAAGATCCCCAATACGTAAGGACATGTGTAATGTAAGCAACACTTACTAAAAGAGAAATCAGAGGGATAAAAGGAAGCTTTATTGAAAAAGTAGCATGGAACGCAATGCGACTGAAGACCGAAACATCCCTGTGATGGGTGTCCAGCAAGAAACATACGGTCTTTAATAGGGGATATGATCTCCCCTGACTGCTAGGCAGGTTTCACAGCGTCTGCCCATGCTGAGAATGAGGGTGTCAATGAGTTGTTGAGGCATTGCTGCCCATTCGTCTTGCAGCGCCAATCGAAGCTCCGGAATCGTTACTGGTGATAAGGTACGAGCTGCCAAGCGTCTGCCTAGAAAATCCCATACATGCTCGATGGGATTGAGATCCGGAGATCGTGCCGGCCAATCCATACGTTCAATATCCTCACTCTCTAAGAGCTGTTCGGTAGCTACTGTGCGATGACATGGTGCATTATCGTCCATGAAAAGGAACTGCGGACCCATAGCGCCTCTAAAAAGACGCACATATAGAAGAAGAATCTCGTTACAATAACGGGTCCCGTTGACTGAACCTGCGTCGAAGATGTGAAGGTCTCTACGACTACCAAGCATGATGCCTCCCCAAACGAGAACACCGCCACCTCCATACCTGTCCCTTTCAATGATGTTCGAGGGATGATTGCGGCTTCCCCGCTCTCTCCAGATGAGTATGCGATGAGAATCGCTACTCAGACTGAATCTGCTCTCATCTGTAAAGAGTACTCGTCCCCATTCATTGTCTCTCCAATTCCGGTGTTCCCGGCACCACAGAGAACGCCTTCTCCGATGGGCAGGCGTTAGAGGTACACACCGTACAGGGCGTCGTGCAAACAGACCACCACCGTGCAGTCTTCTGGCCACAGCAAAACGCGATATCGGTCGTCCAGTCGCCTGTGTCGTGTGTCTAGCGATTTCTCGCTGTCAGCCGCCTGTTTCTTCTGGCCTGTAAGGCGATATACCGGTCATCTGCGGGTGTGGTTCCTCGTGGACGACCACTACTAAACCCCCGGATAGCTGTTCCTGTAGTTTTGAAATTGTCTCCAAAGTCGTGAAACGATGCTGTGAGCAATTCCGAACTCTGCAGCCACACTTGTCACACTGCGGCCTTCCTCCAACTTCCCAATGATTCGACCTCGGATAAAAGTATCCACATGTCGTCTAACAGATTGATTATTCGCCATTTCTCGCTGAGGCAGCAACTCGGTGTGATTTTAACTGCTATACGGCGTGCCATCTCTTTGCCAGAAATACTGATCTTACACCGACAACATGCTTTATACTAGTCAGACACTCCCCCATTACGTCTACCTGCATATCCGCGCATGTGCTACCGTACATCACCTTACTTAATCTCCTGATTGGTCTTTCTGTCCGCTCTGCTTTTTCGTTCAGGTGATATGCTAATTTTTCGACTTCGTCCTTAATTTTTTCACACCAGTGTATTTGATTTCCTGAAAAAACAGACAGCTTTCTTAGATCTTGATGGTCAAAAAGTCTTGTAAAGTTCCATTTTCCTCAGACACAGTTTTATCAAAGTTATAACAACTTTGTTATACATCGTGTCCACAAAAGTTCTTACCGGTCTTTAATTTCGCAGCTGTTTGATCGTAGGCATATATACTTTCAGTTATAAAAATGTTTTCAATGATGCGAAGATTCATGTTTCGTATTTTTAAATTTAAAAAATTTATTTTAAAGCAAATGCGAAATATACATTCCCGCGGTCCTATACTTTAATTTAGGAAAATTTTGAACTCGTTATAAAAAATAAAAAACGAAAAGTTTGACTCCCGCACGACAAAAATTGATCGAAAGACTTGATATTAAAAACTGGATTCATTTTCAGGGGCCGTACACAATTTGAAGAGAGAAATGTTTATATTTGTAAGTACTAAAAATAAAATATTTAGAAAAAAGGTTTCTGATATTAAGAGATTACGTAGTAAGCAGAGTATTGTGAAAAGTATTGATTGATATGACGTTCTTTCAAAATAGAGAATTTATTCACGGAATCATATAGAGTTAGTAGGCTTCAATATTGACATCCAGCAAGCACGTAATACTATTCACGTTAATTAAAAATGTAAAAATATTTTAATTTTAATGAGGGTTTTTTTAACGATTCATTACTCGATTATGATTATAAAGTTGTAAGGTATTTTTCCCGCCTTCTTAACATGCCTTCCTCGTGTAGTGATCAGCCCACTCGGCGCGTAATCGAGAGGTCCGTGGTTTAAGTTCCGGTGAGGGCACTGCTCATTTTCATCTCTCCTGTTTTTCAAAAACTATCTGGCTCTACAGTAGTGCCCGAACTAAAAATGTTGGTGAATAATAATAATGATTCTCCACCACCAGGATTTGGGCGATTGGGTCCCTTAATACCCAGTCGCCGTTTAAAAAGGGAAGTATATAAGGTATTTCTCCCGCCTTTTTAGCATGCCTTCATGGTGTAGGGGTCAGCACGCTCGACGCGTATTCGAGAGGTCCGTGGTTCGAGTCCTGGCGAGGGCATTGCTCACTTTTCACTTCTTCCTATTTCAAAAAATAACTTAATGTCTCTACAAGTTATTCAAGAGAGATGGGATAAAATACCTTTTCCGATACTACAAGAGGCTTTATTGCCTTGGAAATTACGATGTAGATAGATAGTGAAGAATAAGGGTTATCAATTAGTACATTTAAAACACAAAAATTTTTACAATGAAAATAGCCTAAAATGTGGGCGAACAGTATCGGTATGTGAATTTAACCTGGTTCCAGTTAATGTGCATGCCTAAAGCTTTGCTATATGTCTCTAGGATTATTTCTTACAAAAGGCCTTTTTAGAAAAAAAAATCTCATATTTTTATATATAATTATCCAAAGTAGTGGAAAAATCTGGGAACTGATCATGTTTTCGATTGAATGACCCTCCTGGCCCAGTATGATCGTTAAATTTTTAAAAAAATGCCGTGTATGCTAACCAAAGAACTAAAAAAAAAGTAGGGATCGATTCCAAAAGTTAAGAAAAAACTGTACCATTTTCATTTTCTACTAAAATATGTCTACCAAAGCAACAATTCGTCAGAAATACTAAATACCATTCCAATCTATGGTTTCATGCATGTTTCTTTAAATAAACATGGGGAAAATTTTTAAAAATTTGTACTAATTCGCAGCACAATATGATGACATACAGCTAGAAAAAAGCTGAAGGAGAATGCGGATATTAAACAATTTCTTCTCAGCGCACGAGAAATGTCATCAATTCTCAAACTCACTAAAAGGGCAAACTCTAAATCGCAATACAGCTAACAGCTAGATCCCATAGCTGATTTGGAACCAACTTCTCAAATCCCTATTTATGTACTGTAGCATGAGCTCGAAGCTTCTGGAAAAATCGTTCATAGGGGTTCAATTTTTTTTCCCAAATCTTCCAAAAAATTGCTAAGTCGGCAAAAATTTGACATACTTACCGAAATTCCGACGTCTTGTTCTCGTGATCTTCCTTAGGTACCTATACAAAAGTTCTTGCACCTAGAACTAAAATATATGCGATTTCAAACAAGAATAAAGTACCCAAACACAATAAATGGTTCAAAATTCACAAATTCGATTAAATATAAAATAAATACCATCATTTCGAAAACAACATATAAAAAAATAACTAAACAGAACAACACAGAAAAACAACAATGCAATCAAAATGATTCACATATATATATTTAAAACAATATCAATATCCCATAACGTTTTCACTGTTATCACTATATTAATCATCATTAAACAAGAATTTTTGCTTCCGTCAAAATGTCTTCATTAAGCTTTCTTTAACAGCTAATCTGTACGTTTTGCAAACAATTCGTTGTTTTCTGTTGTTTAAGTTTTGTTATTTGATCTTTTAAATTTTGTTGCAGGTGTGCAAATACTTACGATGTCCTCTCTTAAATTTTATGGTTCTTTCAATTTCTTTCAAGGTCTTCATTTAAAACACATAATTCAAGTTTTTCGTCTAAGAAGGATGAAATTAACTATCTCTTCTTTCTTTTATAGTCTTTTTAAATTTTTCCTGCCCACGATTCCCCTTAATTACGTTGTATTACAACATATTAATATTATGATTATGTAATGTCAAAGTATCAAAACATATCAAAGTATTTGTAGTACTACCGTAGGTATTCGGTAATTTCAGTTTACCTGGTCCTTGATTGAACCATGTTAGAGAAAAACAATATTGTAAGAATGGAGTGTTATTAGGGGTATTTTTCTCCCAAGATCTCAAGATATATTTGTGAGAAACCGTGCTGTATGCATGCCGTATTACATGGATGCAACAGCATGTTTTTCCAATAAAATTACCAGTATCCTATTGTGTATTTATTCTGTTTTTAATTTTTTTTTTTCAGGCATGCTTCTTATTCGCTACCAGCGCCAAAGGCAAGAGGCAGAAGATGGAGGAGGACATAGAGAAAACTCAGATCACGAGATGCGGCGAAAAATCAACGACAGAGATCTCAAAGGAGAAAGTCATCGAGCGGCAACCAGAGGGACACTCATCTGCATATTCGTCTGTGGTACTATTCTTCTGTCTGTGGGAATTTCCGTTCTCTTTGTTGGACTTCTTGTTCCTGATTTTAAAAAGGACCCAACGCCTTGGTTGGTTATAGGTCCAACTTGCATAGTTCTCGGCATCTTAGTTCTGCTTTTATCGGTAGAAATAATCTTAAAATTAAGAAAGATTTCTTCATCGACTAGGTCATCCGCCGAGAGGGAAAGTACGCCAAAGAAAGGGAAGGAAACTCAAAAAAATAGTTGGGGTAATGATAATAATGATGAAGAAACTGCTACTAAGGATTCAATGCCAAAGGCTATTCCTGTCGTAGTCCACCCTGCCACGCCACTTCAACAGCTAGATGCAACATCATTGCCAGTGGACGTTGTACAGCACAGGTGAAGTTGTTAGATATCTACTTAGATAAAACTGCTGGAAATCTGCTTATCAGAATTTGACCTTCTTTTCCTTTCTAAAAGCATACAAGAAGTGCTGAAAGTGAATAATTCTAATAATTTTGCAAAAATAGTTAATCAAAGAAACTCCGAAATTTCATAAACACTCAGGAAAAAAAAATTTTAGATGCTTCATCCAGAAACTGGAAGTACGAAGGAAGCAAATAATAGCAGCAGCGTGAACGTAATTGCGATAATGAAAAACATTTTATGTTGTCACTATACATGACTTCCTTTTACCGCCTATTAAATTATACAAATTTTTTGCTGCACTTCATTCAACCTTCTTTCTTCGAATTCCATTAGAGATATATTTCTCATTCAATTAATTCGCTTCTCACTTAAGGTAAAAATACATAAAAGCTCAAAACATGTTCATTAAAAATTGTAAAATATAGGAAAACCTAAAACACCAAATCCAGTTAAGCGCAGAGTTCCGACACCTGTGCGGCTTACTTAAACTATTCGGTTCAACACCAAATACAGTTAAAAACAATTCTTACAATTAAAATTAGAGTTCTGTAGGAAAACAAGCAATTCGGCCAGTGAACAAGAAGACAAATTTTCGGCGCACAGAATTGAAAGTTACCTTTTGGTACCACTGGGCGAAAAAGGTACTGAAGTTGTTGCACAAGGTGATTCAATTTACTATTCTGCTAACAGTTCAAAATGGGAACAAATGGCGGCCTCATTAAGCTTAGCGCCGCTTTTAAAATGTTGATCATACTACAACTAGTGCATGCAGATTAACTAAAGACATAAAAACCTTAACTGGAACATAATAACAACATGTTTCAATTACTTTTAAAGCAAAAATGCACAATTTACCAACAGAAGAATGTAAGAATAAAATAATTGAGCTCACCGAGCCGGGTAAGAGGGAATATATATATGTATACGTTTAGTGCTGCCGATTGCAATGAAAAAAAAAAGTGCACAACCACATGTTATAGGAGTCCCATATAAAACATTTCAACGTTCTATGGCTATTCTTTTTTGAGTTATTCGAGATACAAACATACGTGGATACGTACAGACGTCACGGAAGAAAACTCTTCTGAATCCATTTTAGAATCCGCTTCGGAGAAAAGAATCGTCTATTCTGCCCATACGTACAGGTGTCAAGCAAAGAAATCGTTTAAATGGATTCGAGAGCAGTCAAAATGAATATTTTCATTGAAATATGATTCCCGAATGTTTTCGCGATTACTTTACATCGTTACAAGTAAGTAAAAGTCATCTCTTACGTGCACCTACATATATGAGAGTATTGTAAAATATATTAGAATGTATAAATATGAAAAAGGATTTGACATCGAAGAAAATAATAAGACCTCTAACCAAAAGCTAGTTAAATATGTGTCATCAAGAAATGGAACAGATAATTTTATGCTGTTCATCTCTAATACTTTTTCCAGCAACGTACCGTGAAAATCAAAAAGCAACTTTCTTGATAGATAAAGAATGCATTGATGACTCACCACAGATGAAACAATGTACTTTTTTTTAAACAGAAGAACCACAAACTGAAAATTTATGTTTATTTTGAACATCGGTGGTATCTGTTAAGCAAAAATGACATACATATAAAACATTTTTATGGTAAGAGGCAATGAATTTTCCTTAAGAACATACTGTGAGGTTTATTTATAGATCTATTTCTATATATTAGCAATGAATAGCAGATGTAAAAAAATGGTAATGAAATATTATAAAGCATGTTATGTATCGACCATCTTTTCTAGCCTTTTCATAAACAGTTTTAAAGGAATAAAATAATTGCTGATTTTAATGCATTTTGTCTTGTTCAAATTTAGTTATTGTATCAGAAATAAAATGTTTGATCAACCGATGTGGAAGAATAGAGACCAAACTTTCCTAGAAGCGGGTTTACATAATATTTATAACCACAGATATAGATTTGACTATGGTTATCTTGGGTAACTAGCTGTTTTAAAATTTTGTGATTAACTTTTCAGATGTAATAAAATCATATTATTACGTGTCCCTTTTATTCTACCAAAGTGGAAGCTTCATTGAGCACAGAAATACTGTATAAAATTTTAATTTCTGACAGCTATATACATTTTAGACTTTGTTTTAAAAAGAATTGATCAAAGCAAGGATTCCCCCCAAAATAAATTCTTCTGTAAACAAACGAAAAATACTTGAGGTAAATAATTTTATGCAATCTGATAATAAACAAATAAATAATTTTAATATAATAATTAAAATAAAAAATTTATCGCTGACTGCAGTTTTATTGAAGGTCAGGCTGCAGTGAAACTGCGCCTAGAGATAAATTTTTCTTAATTGTGATAAATATTACTTCGAATGACTTCCTCTGCTTACTGTCAAACTAAAAATACTCTTTTCTATATTTACATTTCCTATTCGTATTCGTCATTTTCCAATGATAAATTTATTAGGTAATTTTTCGGGTGGTGGGGGGGGGGAGTTTTCCCTATTTTTCAGGTTCTATTTCATTCCTTTAAGTTACCAGAGCATTATTACTTCCGCGGCATGACAAGTGTTGCCGTTGCAAAAGGCACAACATCTTCCAGCTCTTATCCTCACATTCTGGCAAACTGCTACTTCTCAGAGGTGTTACTATTCGACATGGCATAAAATTTTCAATTTATCTTTCAAAATAAAACTACATATTTCTTAACAAACTGTTCAATTTAAGAGCAATATGCATAGTCCTTTTTTATTCTTTAATATATCTTTAGCTAATATAATTTTAATACGTATAATACATATCATCTACAATATACATAGCTGATGATTTTATAAATATTTGCATCATTATTACAAATTCAGTACCAACCGCTTATTAAAATCACTTCCATTTCAAACATTTGGTGAGATTATTAGACGGCTGAATTTAATAAACGGCGATTTGATGTATTGCAGATTGTATAATCAATTTTAAACTCATCTTGTTAGATAATAACTAATAAAATAATTAATACCTAAAATAATAATTAACAGTTAATGATAAAATCAAACTATTTACTCAATTCTTAGTTTTTTTAATAAAAGTATTTTTATAATTTTGCACTTAATTTAATTCTAAATTGTAGAAGCAAGTGTTTTAACCATGTATGTTTCCTATTGTAAATCAAAACAAGTATCTACATTTCTTGTATTCTCAAGTTCGTTAAACTACCGGTAGTTTCTTTGATCAGCACTTGTCAGTTCAAGAGTTTTTCTTAGAATCTGAAGTCTTTTTTGAGGGCAGGGAAGAAATCTCAGCAAAAATATTGCTTGGAATTCATAAATTCTTGTAAGTTCAGTATATATATATATATATATATATCATCATCATATACGCTCATGTACAAAATTAAGAGAATTTGCAAATTATATCTATTTTTACAAAAAGTATTGAACCAAAGGTACAAAATGTACCACCGAAGAATTATGCAAATACTCGCGTAAACTTCCTTATCTGTGAAGCTGTGATTGTGAAGTGAATGTAAGCGCACGAAGTGTTTTCTATGACTTGTGTGTTCAAATTCCTACACGACATTAGCCGTGTTTCTCGCAAGAGTTGGGTAAATTTTGTAAGGTATCACGCAAAATAAGTAGCCATGAACGTGTGGATGACGGAATGAGATGCAGAATTGTCGTTTGATTGGAGGCAGGCCAGTCACAAGCGCAGGTGGCTTCAGAGCTCAGTGTAACGCCCATTGTCATTTGCAATTAGTGGAAGCAGTTTCAAAACACATATCTTGAAGACCTGGACAAGGTCGAACAAGATCGACAACTATGAATGAGGATCGTTATATGACACTTTCAACACGGCATCACAGGATTGCTACAGCTTCATAGTTCTCACGTGAGCTGTATGCTGTATTCTGCCACTGGGACACGAGGTTCACGGTCTACAGTTGGGCGAAGGCTTCATGAGATAAAGCTGTATGCGAGAGGCTCCACTATTTACGTCCTTCTCACTGCCGCACACAAGAGAGCAAGTTTAGGGTAGAGCAGACAACATGTGCCTGGGACCAGATTTCACTGTAGTACCATGCTTTTTACATATAATTCGAGATTCATTCTGGACACTTATTCTTAACGTACCTATATCTGGAGAGAGCCCTGAACACGATACCATCCTTCCTTCATCATACAAAAGGATCACTGCAGTGGTGAAGATGTAACGATTTGGGCATATATTATGTGGAACGACAGTACAACTTTGTATATGTTTGAAAAAGGCTTCCTGACTGCTGTGAGGTACAGACAGGAGGTCCTAGAGCCTTATTTTCGACTTTTCAAGGGGCAGTTGGTACTGGGTTCCTGTTAATAGATGACAATGTTCGTCTAAATAGGGCTGAGCTGATTCACGATTACCTGGAAAGTGAAAATATTCGCCGTGTGCGGTATCTGGCCAACCAGATATCGCCTAACCTTAATCTTATAAAGCATGTCTGGCATGCTCTTGAGAAGGCACGTGAGAGCTATGAAGCTGTAGCATCTCTCTATCCTCCTCCGAGAACCATCCAGAAGTTGAAAATTGCCTTGCGGCAGGAATGGGATCGACTGCCACAGGGTCTTCTCAACTGCGCTACCTATTTGGCTGCGAAAGGTGACCACACCCCATGATAGACTCATTTTCAGTTCGATATCATAGCACTGATTTTGGAAATCCCTGCACTGTGAGCCTTGTACCCTGCACTGTGAGCATGACTACATAAACTGTTTTTTGAATGGTACACTGCGCAAAAAAGGGGGATAGTCCTATATCTCCTGTTCTACTTGGCCGATTGACAAAATTCAAATTGCGTTTTTCATGTCTCGAAAGCGCGACTTAGGATATATATTAGATTTACGTATAACATTGTTCTAACATAGGTATTTTGACACGAAATCGGACTATTTCCGAAATAACATACAAATTTTTTTTCCATATTTCGATTCTGCGACTCAAATTATGCCTAGGATATTAAAATTTGGTGCGAAATTTACGGAGAAATTCGAAAATTTATCTTGGCGCCAATTTTTCAGTTTACGCCAACAATAATTCACTTGGCGAACTTATATGGCAACCAATTTTCCTTTCCCTTCCTTTTCCCTACCTTTTTACATTGTGCACGAGCGGAAAAAAAGCCACATCATTCTTTCTTTCAAATAATTTTAGCAAAGTGTCTAAACCACATTTGATGTTTTATCACTTTTCAATAAATATGCCAAATTTCAAAACGGGCCAATATATAAATTCACATATATCTTAGGAGATTTTGAATAAAAAACTGTAATTTTTAGCAGGTATGCTTAGAAATACGTCTTCTTTAAGATGACAGTAAAAATTTTAAAGATTATAATTCAACTTCTTTTGAAAATTTTATAAAAATTATTTAAAAATACAAATTTTAAAATAAATCTTAAGAAATGGGCGAATTTTATTTGAATGAACCTGAATTTCGAAATGTGAAAGGAAGAATCAAATAAGTTTAATAAAAAAGAGAGATTAATAAATATATACCAAACTCAATTAACAGTGAGGAGCTAAAACTTTGAGAGCTGATTTATTAAAAAAACTACTCGTGCGATTTTTACAAAACTTGGTAGTTTGGCGTAATTTGAGTCGTGAAATTGAAATATGAAAAAAAAATGGTATGTTATATCAGAAAAAGTTCGATTTAGTGCCAAAATACCTATATTAGAACAATGCTATATATAAATCTAATACATATCCTAAGTCGCGCTTTCGAGACATGAAAAACCAAGTTGAATTTCGCCAATCGGCCCAGTAGA